TCCAACATATTCCACTTCAAATCTTGCATTTTACTATATGCTATGCGAACGAATATTGTGGAATTAAGGAGATTCACCTTCCCTTCCCAGTTTTTTTTTTCTTTTGTCAATTTTCTGGAAATTTTTGTACGGTGCTTTTATCAACTGATTGTTCTGTATACATTGTTTCAATTTGTTACATATTATCATGTTGTTATTACGCTACCGATATTTAATCTTTTTTTACATCACAATTGCTAATTCTTTAGTTCGCATGTTTCTATTGTCAGTTAGTTGCCAGTTTTAGGAATTTAAGGTTGTAAAAAGTAATTTTTTTTTTCATTCACTTTATTCACAATTTTGATTAGAAGTGATAATTAGAAAACGATACTATTTCATATTGTTTAAAGTAAGAAAAATACTTTGCTATCTTGTCAGATTAGTGTTACACTTCGTTGTATTTTAGATTTTTCATTCTGAGTATTCCGGTATTTTTGTGCAGTGTTAAATTATGGGTCCTTTATATATTGATATTTTTTTTGGATGCATTTAGTGATTGTTTTTATTTGTGAATATCGAGAAAGCTTGTACAGGTTGTCGATATATTCTGTTCCTGTTTATGTTTTATCTTCAATAGTGGAAAAGTGCATTACACATTATTTTGCAAAAGATAGGGATGCATTCTTTATTTATTTAAGCATAACTTTTATGATAAAACATTTTTAGATTATTTAGGTGCGATATTTAATATATATTGTTAAATTAATCTTTTATCTAGTATTCGCTTTAATTTTCGAGAAAAATGTGAACTTTGATAATTTGCAACGAAACGAGATAGGTCAATATTTGATATGAGGATAAACTTATTACTTTTTTTTTTTTGTTCTTGAAAGAGGTAATCCGCTTGATAGCTTTAAGGAAAATTTCAATTTCTATTATTATTAAGTTTTAGTTTAATAACAATAAAATTAGGGGACATATTCAGTTAATATCAATTGTTATAAAATGGTTGATGCATAGAGAATTTATGCTTCTTCCTAGTAATAAACTATAAAATTTACTTTATGTTCGTATTTAACTGTATTTGAGAAATGAAGCGATGATGAACTTTATAATTTTAATATTTTAGTTAAGGTGTTCTGGGTTGATATGTTAGTGAAGTGGGTGGTGTGTAGATTCTGCTAATTGAGTGTAGTGAGTTCAATGCCGCATGATGACCGTTATTTGCTACTCTTGATGTGATTATGATGAAGCAAAATGTATAACCACCAAAATACTGTAAACTGATGGCGCTTACGCATAGCAATGATTTAAAACGAAAATTCCATTATGTTTCATAAATTTAAATGCAATTTTCTTTTCAGATTTATTTTGAGAATATATTTTTGTATTAATGCAGAGTTAGAAATTTTTCATATCTTTGAATCTAATTCAATTGTTCATTAATTTCAATAAGTGATGATGTAAATATTATTTGTTACAAAAGAATACAGAAATTCTTTGATGTTTGAAATGTTATATATTGTAGCATAATGAAAAAGAGAAAAAAAAAATTTAAATGATATGGTTTTAATAGCAACTTTTATAGCGATTATTTATCATTATTACTGTGTTTATCGTCATCATCTATCGATAGTATCATGATATTGAAGTGATAAAAGATATGAATGGCTACTAATAATTTTTTAAAAATTAGAACTTACATTTTATATTTCGAATCTTAAGAGGGAAATATTTAGGTAGTTTAAACCATTTTATCGTAGTTTAAACCATTTTTTCTAAAGTCACTTTCAGATTGGAAGTAGTAGTGTTTATCCTGTCTTAATTTTCAAATGATATATCTTCCAATAGCATCCATCCATAAAAAATTGTGGGAGGAAAAAATGAAATGTAAATTTCGCATGTGTACTCGATTAATTTTTAATAGCAGTAAATAATGTTTCAGATCGTCTGGAATTTTCTTTTGCTTGGAGATTTGAAAATTTTCGAAATTTTTGAGGACTTTTAAAGTTAAGAAAATGAAGACTTTTTTGTTGATTTGGAAACTTTTTCTTCCTAAAACTTTTATATGTTCATTATTTTGTTTTCTACATTGTGTACGCTCCTTTATTGAATTATACTAAATTTAAAGATTGAAGTTTGAAAACTGATTACTTTAGGTTTTCACATCTGGTCCCTACAAATTTAATTACTTGGATAACTTGAATTATGATAAGAGCTTAATTCGTTTTTTCTTTTTCCATTTCAAGACATAGTGACATCAAATTGCGACTTTTATTAAATTTCAATTTTTAATTTATATTTTTACAGATTCAATTTCAAACTTGTATTTTCAGATTTTTTGTTAAAATGACATGCACAGAAGGAGAGCCGGGTTGTTCTGGTTGCTGCAATTTGGTTAATGAGCAAGAAGATACCAGAAAGAAAGTAAAAGGAAGAAAGTTAGTTAGTTAGCTTTTTCTTGTGAAAATCTAATTCATAAATATTTATTGTCTATTTTCTTGGTAGTTGCTCAATTTTTTCACAAATTTTTGTTTTTTTATTAGATATATTTCCTAGCTATTCTGGAAAAAAAAAAGATTTTGGAATCCTTTCCATAATTAATTTCGAAATTTTATCTTGATGCGGTTTAACATGGAATTATCTGTAGGAAGATGTTTTAGATTTGCCTCTGACAAATTATATAAAGTAAGTAAAATAAATGCCTCTGACAAATTATATAAAGTAAAGTGAAAATTTAAGTAATTTTAAAACTTGTGTTTCAGTCTTTTAAAAGCAATTTACAAAAAAATCTGATATTGAAATTAGAGATTCTTTATATTTATATGTTTAAGTTGATAAAAAATCTTTTTTTCTTCAGAATAGGTAGCATCTGCTTGTATTTAATATATTTAATATCTTAATATTTAAAAGTAATATTTTAATATTTAAGATTTATCATTACACCAGTGCTTCGGAAAGAAATAATGTGTGTTGAATTGCCGCTCATTGAATATTATGCAGTATATGTGGAAGATAAGTGCAAAATTGGATTGCTATTACAAATTTTGCCAAATATGCCATCAGAAGCGAATCATTTAAAACGTATCAAAAATGAATTAGTTCTTATCCAACCAGCAAATGATCCATTATCACAGGTAATTATTCTTTTAACTCTAGATCTGCTTTCATTCATATGAGAAATATTTGTTTATATCATATGGTGGTGAAGGTTGTGAACAAATTATAGAGGGAATGCTTTTTTAAAAGAAACTTGGAATTATGTTATCTATTTAAAGTCATAAAATACTTATTTTGATAGCTTTAATTTGATTTTTTCCTTTTTTGAATAGAAAGGAGTTTCTATCACTTTATTTCTAGAAATTATGACTAGTTATCATGTGCATTTTTCAGGAATTTATCAAGAAACTTCAGACCACGCTTTCAGATATTCCCATTATAAAAGTGAAAGTTCCTTTACATAAGCCAGTGACAAGGACACAATTTTTATGGGCCAAACAACATTGGCCTACAGCTTTTCATCCAAATAAGCAATATGAGGCACTATTAAGTGGGAACTTTTTCACAGCCGATGAATATCAAAAAATTATTGGTTTCTATTTGGAATCGGAAAAGGTTAAGATACTTATTTGTATTTAGGCCTGCGACTGGTAATTACTAAAGACTTTAACTAACAAGCACATTAAAATGGTTTGATGAATTAATTATACCTGTTCTTGATAATTAAGTGAAAGTTAGGTAACTTCAGGACGTATGATTATTCTCATAAGTTCTACAAAGTTCTTAGAAATTAATCAAACTTAGATGGTTTTTTTAAGAGGACATGCTGTTGATTTTTAGTTATTGATAACACATTTTTCGTCTATTGCGGATTAATAGTAGCTGAAGAATCATTTATTGTGATCTCTAAAGCTTTGAATTATTAAACTAGCTGAAAAAAAATTCACAAAGTCTTGTTTTTGGAGCAAATAAACTGTTTTTCATCAAATTGAAAAAATTTTTTGCAGATTAGTAACGGTGGTTCAGGCTGTGTTATTGTAGATTTGAAAGGTGAAGTTGTTGCAAAAAGTGGTAACCGGAATATACCTCTTGGACACGCAGTTATGGCTGCAGTTTCAGATCTTTGCGAAAGGCATCGCACTAAGCAAAGTAAATTTCTTGCATCTGAATTAAATACATATTAGCAAAAATGAAGACTTCTCTTTCTCTTATTATCATATCACATTGTTTAATATGATTTTTGAAATTTTTATATGGTTAACACTATTCACAAGTTTTTTGTGAGAATAAACGTGGTCATTTCAGGTGACATACTGCAATATCTCGGTACAGGATTTGATGTTTATTTGACAGATGAACCGTGTGCAATGTGTGCTATGGCTTTGGTACATTTTCGTGTTGGACGAGTATTTTATGGAAAACGAGCCCCTTTAGATGGAGTGTATGAATCGTGTTGGAGAATTCAGGAAGAGAAATCATTAAATCATCATTACACGGTCTTTCGGATAGATGAATTTATCTGATGTATAATCTTTGATGTATTTCTTTTTATTGAATTATGTTACATATTTTGAAATTGTATTTTTTTTTATTTTTTTTTTTGCTAGATAAGACAACTGTATTTTATTAAAAGTTTTCCATGTATAAAACTTATATTCGTAATCATTTGCTAATATAAATTCTTTTTGTATAAAATTAGGTGTAAAATGGAATCTTCTTCAAAATGAAACATATCATATCATTACGTGTATATTCTGTAATTCTTTTGAATAAAATGATTATATTACAATTTTTTAAATCATTCAATTAAAATGTGTTCCTGTTCTTACTTTGCATACATGTGCATGTGATAATATAAGTAAAAATATATTTCTGATGACAAATCAATTGTGACATTAACACTTAAATTGATATTTAATGATATTATGATTAGTTATGATAGCAGATAACATATTATTCGTAGTTATCACTTCAATTACCATTACACAACTTTTTTTTTTTCTTTTTTATAGAATTAAAAAATGTCAACGGCACCAATTGCCAAAACATTTTCAATGATATATGTGGATGAAAAGGATAATTCAATTGATATAGCACTGAGTTATAACGATGTTATGAATGGAGTATCATTGATTGCAGAGAAATTATCTTCCTACAGGAATTGTCTCATTGCTATCACTCTTCCTAAACATCCTGCATTCGTTTCTGCTATTCTTGGGTTTGATTTTTGACTTCTTTACTCAAGCTTACGTACTTTTTATAATTTATCAGCTTAAATTTGGATTTTATCATCAGTTTATAAAATTACTATATTTTGTTTATCCTATCTTTTCGTTTTTGTTTTAAAAAAGAAAGAAAATTACATATCTTTAGTAAATACTGCAATTGTTAGATTAGGTATAGACATGACTTTTATGCAAATATTATTGAAATGTTGAATAAATAAGGAACTCTTTCTTTCTTTTTCTTTTGGACTATTATTTTTTTTATTATTTAATAAATTACACCAAAATTAATTTATTGAGTTTTCAAAATGCTTATAGTTTAAATTTTCAGAGTTCTAGAAACGAAAAATTGTTTCGTTTGTTGTTCAAGCATTGAAGCAGCAAACAATTATCTTAGTGCTACGGTATCCTGTATCATTTCTACAATTGCTGCAGATGATAATCAATTATCAATTGATATACACGGTTTACAAATTTATTTTAATCATAATGGATATTATTGTTTGGATGAATTTGGAAAAGATAAATTATGCTATTTAATTACCACCTCTGGTACATTAGGAAAACGAAAAGAAGTTTTTGTTCCGCATAGCTGTATAATGCCTAATATTTGGGACTTCAGGTTAGCATTTCAAATTTTTAAGCTATTTTCTATAAAAGAATCATTGATAACTTAAGATATTAGAATGCATCACAAATTTTACTATTTTATTTAATCAAAAAAAAAAAAGTTAATTCTTTTTTTCTGATATTAGCAAATCCTTTTTCTTATAAATTCAATGATACGTACACTTAAATGAATAGAGTAAAAAGTTCACAAACTATTATTAGTTAATAATTGAAATTTATAAGATGAAAGTGTGTTTTGAGAATAGCTCTAAATTCTTCATCTTTTTTTAGTCGTCGATTTCAAATCACAACTGTTGATGTCATTCTTTTTGCTACGGCAGCAACATTTGATCCATTTGTTGTGGAAATTCTTTTAGCTGTAGTAAATGGTGCAAAACTATTGATTGTTCCGGATTCGTTTCGTTCCATACCGTCGAAATTAGCCGATGCAATCTTGAAATATAATGTAACCTTTATTCAGGTTAGATTTTCAATCCCCATGTCATTTATATTATATTTAGTTTACAAATTAATTTGAATTTAATAATAATTCAAAATTTCTATTTTCAAATTTTTATTTATAAGAAGATTATTAATGAAAATGAATGAAAAGAAGCTTATGCTAATCGAAATTCATTTTGTTCAGATCTCTGTTTATGGTAAAGAATATCCTTAGTTTTGTTCTCAATTGTTTTCCTATCTTTTTATAATTAATTTTGGTGTAATATTAGCTTTTAGAGTATCCTTAGAATATATCTTCATTACATTAATGTAAGATTATGTTTTCAGTTTTTGATTTGTTCACTAATTTTAATACTATGTTATCTTTTTTTTGCGTTAAACAGAGTGAATTTAAAACTAAGTTTTATTTCAGATGACACCATCACAACTGAAAATTCTACCTCATAATGCTTTAACAAAGATTTTTGCTGGTAAATCGGCTGTACGAACAGTAATTCTGGGTGGTGAAGCATTCCCTATAAATTTTGTTAAGCATTATCATATTAATCATGAATTTATCAATTTTTACAATGTATACGGAGTTACGGAAGTATCTTGTTGGGCATCTTGTTATAGAATCGATTGGAAGTAAGTTTTTAAGCTAATGAATTAGTTCAAATAAAAGCAGAACAGTCAGGAAGATACAATTCAACATTTAGAGAAAGTCGTGTGGAAATTGGTGAACCATTATTGGGTACGAAATTTAATGTTAGTGAAACAGGAGAATTGCTTATTGGTGGTTCAAGACGATGTTTTATAAATGGTAAATTATCTGCAGCTTGGTTTTCCACTGGTGATATTGTTGAGCTTACAGAATTGGGAAAAATCTATTGGTGTGATCGATTTGATGATCAGGTTTGTGATAATAATCAGATTAGTTTGAAAATTCTTTTTCTCTTTTATTTTCAACTTTCTATTCTTGATAATTCTGCATACAGCCAGCTATTTATCTTATTAATAATTTTATAAAAAATTGATCTGAGCTCCTTATTTTTAAACTTTTAAATATAAAAACACTATGTTGGTTGATAATTGAACAAAGTGTAAATTACGAAAACGGCAACACTTTTTTTTTAGCAAGATAAGCTAATACATAGTGCTTCCAAAATTCTAATATGATCAGGAAATGAAAGAAATAAGTAGAAACAAATACCATTGTTTCTTATCAAATTCATATATAAACCATTCGTCTATTTGTATAAATATCGGACAATTATTGTGTAATCAATTGTGATTCTTTCAATGCATTGTTATTTTTCAGCAAAAGATTAGTGGAATCAATGTAAGTTTATCAGGTTTGGCCAGAAAAGCAGAAGAATATGATAGCATTCAATCAGCTTTAGCTTTACGTCGTCAACAGTCTATCTTATTATTTGTACATGTCAAAAATAGTGCAACAATACAAACTAATTTATGTGAAAAATTAGCAATTGGTTTGCCAATGATAATCATTTTAGTGGACAATTGGCCAATGACAAGAAATGGTTAGTGGATAATGGAAAAAAAGAGAGAGCAATTTTATCACTTTTTATAGTTTTGGAGAAGAAAAGTGATAAGTATTAGACAATCAAGTTAATCTTTAATTTTATTTTGCCATTGGATAATTAATGCACGCAAATCTCTAATATAAGAAGTTTCTGATTACAGTTTTCGAGTTAAATCATTCTTATGCACAATAAAATATCTTCAGGTAAAGTTGATCGCCAAAAATTAGTGGAAATTTTTGAACAAAAAAATTTGGTCTTTACAATGGAAGATTTGAGTAAATTATTTGATTATCTTAGTAAGTTCTTTCATTATTTTAACATAATAATTGATTTCAGTAATATTTTGATGTGAAAAGTTATTTAAATCTAATTAAGAGATATTAAAATAGTGGACATAATTGGAAATTTTTAAATTTTGAAGTATTGGTTTATTTTTATTCGTACAAGAATATTTAATAATTAAATATAAAATTCCATTAAAAAACAAATATCTAGTACATATTGATACAACCGTATATATTTTGCCTAATCATTTATAGTATTATTTATAGAGATTAGTCTAGAAATCAATCGAGAAATGACATTCAAAGATTTGGGTTTGGATTCATTACGTGCCACTGAATTAACTCTAAAAACGGAACATCTTTTGAAACAGCGCAATTTTCCACTATTGCAATATCTTCTTTCGGATACCGGAACAGTTGCTGGATTTCTGGATGCACTTGATTTTAATCAAAATATAAGAGAAAGGAATATCATACACATGCGAGAAATTCGTACAAGACCAATAGAAAATTCCATCAAGGTCGAATTATTGTGGGAATATGACTTAGGAAAATGCATCGATGCAACACCTATAGTCGAAAATGAGTATGAATTGTAGAATTTAAAAAATATATCTGAATTAGATTTGTGAGCTAAAATAATGTTGGATAATATCTTTGTATAAATGAAGTCACTTAGCTTGTGCTAAACATAGCAACTTATAAAATTATCTTATTTTGATATTTTAACTTTTATTTAAGTCTATGAATAGTATCAATGATCGTATTGATATTATCGATTTGTGTCATTTTTGACCTGTATTTAGAAATAGTTACTAAAGTAATAAGTTGTTAACTTCAGTGTTAAATTGATCATTTTACTTTGAAATTTCAATTTTTAATTAAGTTTAAGAATTTGTAGGACTATTAAAATTGAACATTTTGAATGTTTTTTCAGTTCAATCTTTCTGGGATCGCATTCTGGACGATTCGTTTCATTATCTCTGGATGGTACTAAAGAATGGGAAGTTCAGCTTGATGATCGAATTGAAGCAACTGCTTGTTATCAAAATGGTATCATTGCTGTGGGTTTGTTTTTTCTCCTTTCACTTTTTGTCTGATAGCTTTATGACTATTTGAGATTTTCTTTTAAATGTTTTACAACACCTGAATTCCATTTCTTCTTCTTTCGAATTCCAGTTTAGATGGGAGGCTTATTAATTAGACAAAAAAGAAATTATTTTTCAATAAATCTTACGTTTAATTGACACTAATTTATCAGTTCTGATTTTTGTACTTCAATGTTTTTTTATTATTTATTGCTCATATAATTAAAATTCATTTTGTTTAAAAAAAAAAAATAATCAAATTCATATTTATATTCATATTGTTTGTTATTATTGCAAGATCGTTCTATCATATTTTACATTTCCTGAAATATTTCTATTCAGAACAATTCAAATAAAGTTATTCTTTTTTCTCTTTCATATAATTCTTTTCAAGAAATCATTTTGTTATCTTATAGGCTGTTATGATGGTTATCTGTACTTTTTGAATGAAAAAAATGGACATTTAATATGGAAATTTGCCACAGGAAATGTTATCAAATCATCTCCTGTACTTATCGATGCAGGAAATAAATGTTTGTTTGGTTCATATGATAAATGTCTTTATTTACTTGATATCAAGGTAAGCTATTAGACAAAATGTGGATCATATTTCTCTAAGTATTTATTGTGATATTTTCAGTATTTTTTTCATCCAAGTTTATTTTCCATCATTAGATGAACAAATATTCAGTATAATGAACGATTTTTCGTTGAATTTTGTTAGATTAATATAAGTGAGAAAGAAATTCCAAACTTTTCGTCCATTAAAATACATTAATGATTGAGTTACAAAAAAAAACCTTTTTTTTTGAAAAATTAATCGATAAGATGGAAAGATCTAATTGTGAAAGATTTAGCTGTATCCTCATTTATAATATCACGGCTACTATAACGTGTTCATCACGTGTTTACCTGTTTAGATGTAATTATACCATTTTAATGATTGCTCTATATCTATTTCTATTTTATTTATTTTTAGAATCACATGATGTTATGGAAAATTGTTTGTGATGGTAGTATTTTGTCATCACCTATGCTTGTTGATACAATTGTATTATGTGCTACTTTGCAAGGAGAATTTCTGAGCGTTGAATTGGTAATTTTTAATAAATTTTTTCTCTTTTTTTTAGATTCTCTTATTCTGTTTAATTTGAGAAATGATTTCATATAATACGTTGAATTATTCTTTTAGTATTTTCATGTGTTTTCACTCATAACCTGATAGTACAAATTCTTTAAAAAAAATAATTTACTTAAGAAAAAAAAATTACTTATGATTATAATAACTAAACCACTAGTTTTTTAATATGTTATACCAGAAAATTTAAAAGTTTCCAATGCTAATGCTGAGGAATCATTGGTTAGATGAAAGACTGTCTTTAGTTAAACTCTTTAAGTGTTAAATTACAGTGTCAGAATTACTTTAAATTACTATAATTCAGAGTTTTATTTTTCAGATTTGAAAAGTAATTGTAAAGAAAATTATTGGGTTTTATTAAAAATAACTTGAATTTTTCTATCTTTTAATTCTATCAGTTTCAATCGCATAAATTTACTTGTTTTATAAATAGCCTGCATCGGATAACTTGCAAAATTCATTTTAAGACTTTAAATTAATCATTAATTCGTTTTTTTTTCCGGAATACTGAAGAACTTTTTACACTACAAAAATTTTGTTGAAATGGTGATCTTAAGAAAATAAGAAAAATTTATTTTAGTGTCTATTTTTCTCAAATAACTTCATGAAATAAGCAAAAATTTTTACACTTTGATTTATGTATAATATGACGATTATAGGAAAAGATATTGTTTTAGCGTGATAATTAGACTTTTTCAATTAATGAAAAAGAATTTTTAGGATAACATAAATGTGAAAATTGATAATTTAATGGAAAAAATTACTAGTTTTTTTATCGCATACATTTTAAGTGCCAATGTTTTGCAACATATATTAGTTTAAGTCTAATAATTATTGTATTGATATATGAAATATCGATGAAATTGTAATGAATAATCTTTTTGAGTGAGCAATTTTCTAATTTCAGGAAACTGGCACTATCTTATGGAAAATTCAACTAGCTGCACCTATATTTGCAAATTTATGCATGATAGAAGAACAAAATCGTGTTCTGGTTGCGAATGTTAAAGGTCTTATAACATTGTGCGACACAACAAACGGACGTATAGTACGTGTTTTTTTTTTTTTTTTTTAATAAATTCAATAAATAAAACTTTACTTAAATATAGCATATCTTTTTGTATTTTTCATTTATTTCAATATTAATTTTCATATATGTCTATTGTTCCATAGCATATGAAATATCTAAACATATCTGTCTAGAAACTGATAGTTTATTAGTAAGTTTTTGTTCTCTGCTAACATTTTTTGTAGTATTGAAAGCTAGAGATTTGAATTAATATATGTGCAGTTAAATTCTGAGAATGGATTTTTAAGAGGATCAAATTAAACAATAGTTTGGAATAATTTGCTATCTGATTTAGTTTTCAAAAAGCAAAATACTATCTGATTTAGTTTTCAAAAAGCAAAATGAAGAAAATTTCATGTTTCACTTCATTTTTACGACAAATAAAAGATATTTATTGGAATTACTACTATTGAGAAATATTCCATCCATTCTGGCTTCTTTCTAGCAATAATAAATTGTCAATCTTTTTTTTTTCTATCCATCCTACGTCAATTTCAAGCGTAAGTATTTCTCCTATAATTGATCTATTTTTCACGCCTTTCGTGACTGTCATCATATTTCTTCTTTTTTGAAAATTTGTTTGTATAGTGAACGAAAGTTGTTGATCCATTAGCATTATATTAACATTATACTGTTTTCTCTTCTCTTCTCTTCCCTCTCTCTCTCTCTCTTTCTTTTTCTATGTTTATTCCTTCTTCTTTTAAGTTGTCGGATCAACAAGATAGTGATTGAATTTTTAACTATTTTGTCACGATTTTCTCTTCTAATTCTGTCTAGACTCTTTTTTTTTCCTCGTTTACATTCTTTCCAAATTTTTTTTTTTTTTTTTTACTTTTCTCTATTTTAGGAACATCAAAATTTCTAAAAAAAAAAAAAAATATGCCATCATTCTTTACCAGATTTTTCTCTTCTTGGAATTTTTTTTTCACTTTTTTTTTTAAAATTTTTGATTTTTCTAACTTATTTCCTTCTTGGTCAATTTTTTTTTTACCTTCAATATGAAGTAATTCACAAAACACTCTTTGATAAATAGAGCGAAGCAAAATGATATGAATATATTAAAATGAAAGTGCCATTCTCGTAATTGACTAAATATGATTATCTAGAAATTGCTAGATGGTGAAAATTTGTAAAATTTTACAATCAGATAATTTCTCAAAGTTTATACCATATCACTAAGAGAATTAGCAAAAATTTTAAACTTCAAAATATTTTATATTAAAATTTTATGAATAAATTTTTCAAAAATTTCTTTTCAGATATATCAATATGATGTTCTGGAGTGTATTTTTGCAGCACCGGTACAATTTCCGGATAACACCAATAGTTCTAATGTGTCAATTATCGTAACTCATTCTTCTTCATTATTCTTGTTACAAACCGATACACTTCAATTGCTCTGGTATATACGAATTAATGGAGTAGGATCGTTTCCAAGACCACCAGAAATTCTGAATAATGAAGGATATCTTTTTATTCAAGATTCTTCCGGTGCTTTGCTAGCTATCAAAGGATTGAGAGAGTTAATGAAGAAAAATACTATGGATTTGGAAATTTCCAGGATGAAAATTATTGAAATTTTACGAGTACCTGGTGAAACTTTTAGTGGTGTACAAATTTTGAAAATAAACAAAAGAGACAGTAATAAGAGCGATGATAGTAATAGTAGTACTAGTAGTAGTAGTAAAATGACAATTGTTTCTTATCGTGCTTTGATTGGAAGTCGTGATGATCGTATACGGTGCTTTCAGTTTTTATTTTAATCGAAGAGAGAGAGAGAGAGAGAGAGAGGGAGAAAAAAAAAGCGAGAAAAGTTGAAGAATTTTGAATGATATAAAAGAAGAAAAGAAAGAAAATGGATGATGAAAAGGAAGAAAGAGAGAGAGAGAGAGAGTAGCATTTTCATTTTTGAAATTTGAACAAATTAAAATAAAGGAGAAAGAAGACGAAAAGGAAGAAATGAAATGAACAAGCCTAAGATTATTCTAGAGATAGAAGAAGAAGAAGAAGAAGCTGACAATATGTGAATGAAAATGACGTAAACATTGAATAAATCAAACTAGCAAACTAAATTAAAATCAACAATTGTTTGTTTACTTTTTGAACTTGAAATGAAATAAATTTAAAACTGCTACATTCTTTACTACTCTAAAATATTTTGAAGCAAATAAATATTAGTGCTTAAAGCTGAAAGAAATAAAGGAAGGAAGATAAGAAAGACATTTAGATATATATTTCAAGTAACCAAATGGTCACGACTTCATCTACCGTTAACCGATATGATCCATTTGAGGAGGACGAGGAGAAGGAGGAGGAGGAAGAGGAGGAGGATTGGCTAATAGATTGCTTCTTGTCGTTAATTTTGTCAAAATTTCTCCTTCTCCTTCTCTTCCTCCTCCTCTTCCTCTTTAATCTTTTTATTTCTTCATCTTGCAGTTATTTAAAAACTAATATCAGATAATATATTATTAGAAGATAATGAAACTTTGATCGCAACAAAATAAACAAAATACAGGTGAGAGGTAGAAGATAGATAATAAACAAAATGCATTCATTTTCCAAATGTATTTAGTAGTTATTACAGCCGTGATATGAAATCTGGTATTGGTCACTACTATTCTGCTACTACACCTCTAGTAGAAGGGGAGTGGTCCTCAATAAAATCCCGGTCATTTCTATCCTATTTTACCTGAGGGCGGGCATTAATCTCTCTCTTTTTCCTCTGTAACAATTTATGTTATCTTAGTGCAAGACGTAATCATCATCGGTGCTTGCTTTATACCTTCCAGAAATTTCGTACTATCCTTTTTCATGGTAATCTCTTGGATGATACCTGTTAATGATAACATTGACCAATGTGTAAATTACTACTAATTAAATAATTAATCTATTTTCTATTTGCTAAATAAATAATTAAGTGATATTTGTAATATAATATTTGTAGCATTTATTCTATTTTTTTTTTCTTTTTACATATATTCAAGATATAATCAATTTCTATCAATTTCTTTTTTTCTTTTGTGACTTTCATTAAAGAAGGAGAGGAAGAAATTATATTATCCATATGAAAGCATTTATTAATATTCCTGTTCAAAACAACCTGTAATTCTCTTCCTGTGATCATCATTAAAAAATTATTTCACTAAATTCTGCGCATTCACTTATATATTCATGAAAATATTTTTCTAAAAATATTCCATAATTTTCATCAATATACTAATAATATCTATTGCTAACAAAAAAAAAAGAAAAAAAGAAGAGAAATTATTGCTTAATAATGATTAAAATTTAATTGTTATTTTTTCACTGCAATTTATGCTATTATTATTAGAAACAACAACAGAATATATTTGAAATATCTTCTCACTGATATACATAATTTTATTTAAATTATCTGAAATTTCACACTGATTCTAAGAATTTCTAAAGGTAAATAAGATGGAAATCGAAAAACCTGTTTTACAACAATCATCAACAGATCTTTTAAAATGCTATCATGATCTAAGCTTCAATTCATCACTTTCACATCATCATCAGGATATCAGTAAAGCAGAAGAAGTAAAAAAAATTGATTATATAACAGGAAATGATAATGGTGATAGTGTTGATAGTGATAATAGCAATGATAATAGTAATAATAGAAGTTATCATTTACTGTTAAATGAAACAAATGACGATGAAGAGAATGATAATGATAATGAATCAAAGTCATCATCAAATACTATATTTAAACAACATTTTGCTAATTTTGATGTTACATCAAAAGAGGAAGAAGAAGAAGAAGCAACAACAACAACTGTAGCAAATTTAAATTATCCAGAATTATCATCATTTCAACATCGTTTTTCTACGATACCAATGGAAATTACAAAACGAAATCATTCATTTGTTGCTTGTAAATTAGCACAAAATTCATCGAATAGTACTAACAATTCAAATTCAATAAATAGTATTCAAGAAGAAATTCCGGAAGTAGAAATGGAAAATTCACAAAATTTACAAGAGAAATTAAAACATTCGGTATCATCACTCTATGCATCCTCTATTATTCGACAGCAAAATCGACGATCGGTAACACTTACAACTTGCAACTAATTCTATTATCATTGATTTTTGCAAAATTTAAAAGTCATTAATTCATTAATTTTCATTGATAGTAATAATCTAAAAAGATAGAGTATTAATCGTGATAAGAATGATAATAATTTTGATACTCAGGATAGAACATTGTTCGAGAAAAGATCACGAATTGAACGACCACGAGCACGATATCCAAATTCAGCACGACGTACATCTGCGCCTGCATGTTTATGGCCTGCATCATCAATATTTCCTGATCAGGTAATTTATTTGATTATTATGTAATCAAATAAATTCATAGCTTCTCATCTTAAATATATTTTTAAATTATTATTTAAACTATAAAGCAAATATTAGCTTGTTTTTCTTTCTTTGAAAGTTAATTTTTTTTTTTTTTGTTTTCTTTTGTTTCGTAATTTCTTTTAGCTTATTTATTTTCTTTATTAATTTCATTTTTAAATAATATTATAAGCATAAATGGAACTATGATTTTAAAACTTTGATTCTAACATTTATCTATAATTCAATATAAATATAATTTTACAAAATATATATAAATAAATGATATTCACTCGAAGTTTAGCATATATTCCGAACAAATTTTGATTTAAAATTATTGAGAAATTTTTTTAAAGAATATTTTTCTACTCATTTTTTTTTTGTTTTGTTTTGTTTTTTTCCTAAATTCTATCATTTTTCTCGAAAAGAATTTGTTAGGAAAAGAAAAAAAGCTTAAGAAGATGAAATAGATAAGCTGAATGGTATGATATGATTAATTAGGTATATTTTTCTTCCTGTATGGTATAGTTTTAAATTTCTTTGATAATGTTTTAACAATATTTTAACTCGATTGAACACTGATAAAATTAGTCAAATATGATAGATAAGTGTAAATTTAACTTAAATTCATATATGAGTAGGAAAATAATTTTAATTTTTCATAGAATTTAAATAAAATTTTAAAAATTTCAAACAATTTATTAATTATTATTTTTACAGCAAACAAAATCATCATCATCATCATCATCATCACTGCATGATAATTTAATTTTACTTCAAAAATTATTAGCTAAGCAACGAATTATGCAAGAAAATGTAGCAACATTCAATTTTGATCCTTCTACTAGTATTTCTAATACTAATGATAATATTGCTACCGCATCTCAATCAAAAATTTCACCTCCGACATTAGCGCCAAATTTTTCAACTGCTCAAACATCAGCGCCAACATCATCATCAGTTTTAGCCACATGGCAATTACTCAGAGGTTTGCTTTTTCTTTCTTTTTACTTTTTACTTTCTTTTTTTTTTTTTTTTCTTGATTCCTTTATTTTCAAATAAAAATTTGAACAATACTATTCGATAATAATCATTGTTATCGTTAAGTTCTATAGGAATAATGTATGTGACAGTTAAACATGTGACATTTTCTTCTTCTTTTTTTTTTCTTGAAAACTTGAAATAGTGTTTAATTTCATTTTAAAACTATTTCATTCTTTTCATTTCTTTGCTGGAAAAAAAAAACATACATTTATGCAAATATATGATAGCAAAGTACTGAAAAATGAAAATTATTCATTCGCTTCATATTTCTTCAAAATTCTTTCTTTCCTATTAGAAATGAACAATTATGGAAAGAGGAAGGAAAAGAATGAAATGGTGGCGTGGGATACATTGAAAAATACAGGTTTTCTCTTTGTGAATCAACAAAAAAAAAGGAAAAAAAAATAAATAAATAAAAAAAACAGAAAGAGGGAATTTTTAAAAATTTTAGTTAAGCTGTTTTTAATAATTTTCGTATTAAAATATGTGCATACAGATGTGATGTACTTCGATAATAATTCATCTTTCATTTCATTTTTTTTTTATTTTTGCAAAGAGAATGAAATGCAGCTGCGACATTCCTTTTCTTCCTTTAGAAGAGGAAGAGAATATAAATTAATAACAATAATAATAATAATAATTATAATTATAATGATATTAATAATTAGTAATAATAATAGTAATTAATGGTAGTAAAGTAATAATAATCCTATTAATAATGATAATAGTAACAATAGTAATAATAATATTTATTATAAGTTAAATTGCTATCAGATTTAAATAAGTTAAATTGCTATCAGCCATAAAAATTTTCAAGAAATTATAAAAAAAAAAAATGAAATTGAGAAATTACAAAGCATCCATATTATGATATAGTTTTTGATTCATGAGTAAAAGGATATTAATATAAGTAAGTTTAAAGTTAACATAAATACATGTATGTATGATATTAGCTAATATTTTAAATAATTTTATAAAAAAGATATGCTAATTTTAGAGTATTGTAAATATATTTTATTTGAAATTTTTTATTGTTTTTTTTTTCCTTTTCAATAAAATATAATCAAAATTTAAAAATTAAGAAGCAAAAATTTTCTTGATTTTTCTTTAGGAATAATTTATGAAGTGTAAGATAAACTTTTCTCTTCTATTTTTTACTTTAATTTTGATTTTAAAAAATTTTTAAAAAGCTCATATATATTTTAATTGTCATCATCGTTCGTTGACGAATCATTTAAGGAAGCTATGAATTTTGTTTTGTTAAAAAAGAGAGACAAAGAGAGAGAGAGAGAGAAAAAAAAACTAAAAAATGTTTGGAAGGAAATGGAGGAAAATGCGGTTTTCCGATTCTTTTTTTTTT